AAGTGAACTTTGTTACTCTTGATTCACTTTGTACTAATCATCCTCAGCCAGGACTCTGCCTTAGGCATTCTCTTAATTCAGGTATATTTAATGTCGCATTACTGAGTAGAGCTAACTCTTGGTCTCCACAGTGTATATGACAAGATCAGACTAAAATGATTTTTAAATGCAGCTGCTACTTCAAAGTTCATGGCCTGTTACCGTGCTTACAGTAACTTTGTTCCTACATTAAGTAAAAAATGTGTTAAATGGACAGGAATTAGCTGTATTTTTGGAAGACTTCAGTTTAAGAGGAAAAATCAAGTTACTGTTCATTACCTCAGTACCAGAGAATTGATTTAGATTTCTGTGAAACTGAGCCATGTTGGCTGCAAACAGGAATTTGTTCTTGGAAGGATAACAACAGCTAGTCTGTTACTCTTATTTACACTGTAAAAGGTACGTAGGAAAAGAGGGGGAATCACATCCAGCGTGCACTCCATCTAATTAAAACATGAAAATAACTGCTGGTTTGGCTTTTCTAAACAAATATGAGGGCAAATATTTAAAACTAAGACGAGCCAAGCCAAAGTTGCAAGAGTCTTCACTGTCAAAAAACTGTGTGTGTGAATTAAGTTTGCCCGAGTTTTAGAAATTTCTTTGGGCCCTTGCTGGCTGAAAGAATTCGTACTTCTGGGCTGTTACCTCTGCTTCTATTCAAGCACTCCATGACTTCAGTGATGCACATTTCAGAGGTGCTTAAAATCAATGTGAATTTCAGGCTGATTCTCAAAGGCTGATTCTTGGCACATCTGTGGTTGCAGTTGTGTCAGTGTCTTTAAATTTGCCTTTTCCAACTTTAGTAATACTTCCAGTGTACTCTGAATCAGGCAAAGAATTGAACACAGAAGTACACAAACGACAGAACTTTTTGTTTGATATTATCCCTCAGAGAAGATGAAAAGAAAGCATGAGAGTAAGCAAGGAAGACAGATAAAGTCGTGTATAACTGATGAAGAATCTTAGCAAAAGCAATTGAATTAAGTTTGCTGACAGGCTGTCTTGACATTCTAAACAATCTCTGAAGCATAGCCCTGTTCAGTTTGAGAGGTCAGATTCACCAAGGGCCTTCCAATTTTTGCCACTATTTTGTTGACCTTTATCTCAGGAATGCATGTCTTGAGAGCTAATGTGGAGTGGGTGTGTATGTCTGTATTCTTCAGTAGATATTTGTACATATGTAGAAGTAAAGAAAGAGATCCTGAAATGGGACTGGAAAGAGAACATCTGCAGGAAGAATTATATGAGGCCTGCTCCAAAAGTAATGCCTCCTGCTTTGTTGTGTTGGCCCACGACATGGGAGGCAGATGTTGGTGGTATGGGAATAGAGGCTGAACCTTCAAAACAACATCCCTTTACATTTTGTTGCCTTGTGACAGATGGCAGCAGAGGGGCAGTCTGACAGAGTGGTGTCTGACATGGATGCCATATGTGAAGCAAAAGACTTGTCATTGAATTCCTCTGTATGGAAAAAAATTGCACTCATTGACATTCGTCGTCACTTGCTTAACATTTCTGGAGACCAAACAGTGGATGTGAGCAGTGAGGCAGTGGGTGGTGCATTTCAACAGTGGTGACAGTGCCAGTGTGTCACTTCTGCTGCAGCAGATTTTTATGAGCACGATGTACATGCTGTTACTCGTTGATAGCAAAAAATGCATAGCTAATGGTGGTGACTGTGTTGAAAAATAGTGTTTTGTAGGTGAGAATGTGCTCTATCAGGTAGTGTTATTGTGTGCTCTGTTGTAACTTTCATGGGAATAAATAGGAGGCATTACTTTCAGAGTGATCTATGTATTTTTTTGCATACCTCTTCTTTTTCTCCTGATTCAAAGTATTTCTGAGAGAGAAAGGGGTTTCTAAAGGTATTTGAAGACATTTTGGCCAGTATTCATTTTTGTAGTTGTATTTTTAGACTAGCTCCTTGCTTAAGCATTTACTTGTTAATATTTACTTGTAAAGAGAATAGAACCTATTTTCAGGCAAATTGCCTTGTCTCGGATGACATTTCCAGCCCCACTGTGCAAAGTTCAGGATGTTCTGGCACACAAGGAGAGATCTGGAAGGCTGTTAAGGAGTATGCCACTTGTGTTAAATGCTACCAGGGATCCCTAGGCCATTGCTGAAACGTTTGCTTGCCTTATTCGTAAGAAAAAATTCCTTAGCTTCCCTGCATAACTTGTTCCATTGTTTAACTGCCGTTGTTGGAGAGTAAAGAGAAGGAAAGAGGAGAGTTGTACATTGTGTTTGTCAAAGCTAAGTCTGCCTTTCTTCAAATTAAGTTCTGTACTTGGCATTGGCAGCCATGGGGAATTATTGAATGCCAACAATTTTCTGACGTTTTATGTTTTCTTATCTCCATTCTCTTCATTTCCTGAATAAAAAAGGAAAATTTTCCAACCTTGTCACAGGAGCAGTGTTTTAAAAGCATCTTTCTTGAAGTGCTCTGTGTTATAACTGGAATTGGTGTCCAACAAAAAAGAATAAAAGGAATTAATGAATTTTCTTTTCTTGTGCTGTAGTGTCCCAGATTATAATTTGTCTTCCTTCTGAACTAACTGCATTCAGGTTTTAGTAACACAGATTCTTCTGTGAAAAGAATAATACGTCAGTGTTAATTTTATTTGCATTGTTGTCAGGCTTTGAACATTTTTCCTGAATTTCATCATCATTACATCGCTTCTAGACTAATTACATAGATGACAGCTGTGTAAATGTCTTTCATCCTCTTCAAGTTCAGTGTCATCAGCCAATTTGAGAAGTGTGCATTTTTTCCAGTTGTGAAGGTTGAAATAGTACAGTACAGACCTTAGGAAGACCTCATTGGTTTCTGTTCTTCCAATTTTATGGGGTAAAACAAATAGTTACCACTTGTGTGTTCTCAGACAGTTATGCTGAAAGCAATTATATAATAGAAATTGTATATAGAAATTTTAGCCAGGCTGTGTTTGCCTCATTTGCTAGGGAACTGCTGAATCTCCTGAGGACTGACTCAGAAGACATAAACTGAAGTGTATCAAAACTAACTCTTTTGCTTGTCTCCGAAGAGTGAACTTTATTCGATGCAGTTCTCACTGCCTTATTGTGCTGCACTGCTTTGAAGTTGACAGTAATATTGTTTTCTTGTGATTAGTGTGGACATTGAACTTACTGACAGTGGTTATAGTGGCATGCGTTCCCCTTTTAAAAATAGATGTGCTTGCTGAGGGCCTTGTTGTTTTCAGAGATAACTGACAATGCCTCAGAATTCTTTCACTCCTTCCTTGAAATCCACTCCTGAGCACTCAGCCCACAGGGCTCTGACTTCCCTGGGTAAACTGTAAATTTTACCTTTATTGTTTACCAAATGCAGGCAGAAGCAGGTTTGGTGTTTTGTTTTTTTTCTGCTGAGATTCTTAATGCTTTTATCATACGAGCATGGAATTTCTAAGAAGGAATTCGGAAGGAATTGTTGATTTAGAAGATTGTTGACTGAGAAGGTTGTGCTAATAGCTAATGGCTTAATACTTCTAAGATGAGGGTTGTGCTCTGCATTCTGCAGCGCTAGGCACATGCCTGCTCTTGCTCTGTGGTTTAATATGAAAAATGAAGTTCTTTTTTACAAGAACACTGTTTTCCCATTTTAAATTTACTTCCAGAAGCAGAGTATGAAATGTTTTAGGAACTTAGACTTAGTGTTTCCTGTTACTGGCTTCTCAATCTATACATTTAATTTTGTTTTTGCTTTTGACAGCGTTTATGTATTGCTCAATTTTAACTCTTGGTGAAAGTTACCATTGAAAATGCTTTCTGAGGAGTAAGTTTTATCTGACTGTGAATGATAAAGAAACACAGTGCTGAACAGTTGCCAAGAAATTTTGTTATCTCCTCATGATTCTAGTTTAATATCTTTGTGCTGGGAATTATATTATCCGATTGTATAATGGGAAGAAGTTTGCCCCTGTCAGGCTGGTATAAATTTTCTATCTCTGTCATCTCGTGTGAGTTAGGCAGTATAGCTGACTTGGTTATATGGTTCACATTAACTCATTCTTTTATAGTGGGCTGAGCCCCAATTAATCACTTAAAAAAAAACCCCTAAAACAGAAAAACAAGCAAAAAAACTACTAATATTGAAGCTCATCTCCAGTAGAAGAAAACATTGTCGAGTATTTCCAGCAGTAGAACTGTCATAACATGATTGAAAAGCATTTAACACTAGTGCAGACTGGAAAAAAATATTTCCTGTGCCATTCCATAATATCCTGAAATGCCACTGGAACTTGTGCACTGGCTTGAGGAGTAATTTTGCCCAGTGAATACGAACTGCTACACGGATGCCATTCTGTTGCAGACCGTGCTGCTGAAAACTGCTTTAAGGACATGATGGTGGTCCTTGTGAACGTAACCTAGACTTTGGAATGGCTGTTCTTTCAGTAATAGCGTGATGCCTTCCGGGTGTGTGTTCAGAGATATGAAGAATAAACATGAAGTTATGCATTGTGCATTGAAAGTCTGAACCAAGAAATTAGTTAATGAACAGTATAAGAAATTAATGATTAACTACCCTGTGGTACTTCTTTCTGATCTTTTTCTACATGGTACTTAGTGGGATCCTAGTTTATCTTCCGTCTGTACTTATTTGGTGACACTTTCATGTTTTCTCTTGCTTTGCTTTCTTGCCATTGTTCATCAGTTTCCTCTTTAAGTATGTGATGTTTACAGCCATGGCTATAATACCCTGAGCCCTATCCTAACCAATGCTTTACTTTCAAAGAAAGCATAATTTCAGCTCTGTACTTAAACTAATCATTGAATCAGTGATGTGAGTTAGAAGGAACAACAAAGTAAGTAAAGATGCTCAACTTCTAATTTCAAAGATACAATGACATATTCCTCACTAGAGGCAAGATTTTATCCAGTAATTCATGACTACCGATGGTTTCTGGAAAGTTCATGAATTTGTCTGTACTGTTTTGCAGGGGGTTTCCCAAGAAAACAGGCAGAACTGCTAGAATAGCCTCAGATGAAGAGATTCAAGGGTCAAAGGATGCTGTGATTCAGGATCTGGAAAGAAAACTTCGCTTCAAAGAAGACCTTTTGAACAACGGGCAACCGGTATAAAAAATACAGAAATAAGAAAAAAAAATATATAGAAAACACTGTGGGGAAGGGGAGTGGATGCCAAGGGTAGCATCTTAGATTAATTGTGTATAAAGTAAATATGTATTGGCTGTTTTTGCATTTTATATTTTGGATTATCATTCATTCTCTCTGTTGTTGAGCAATTTTGTTTGGACTTAACAAAGCAGTGGAGATCTCAGGGGTGATGAAATGCCATATGAAGCCTTCACAATCTGTACATCAGGGCATTTTTCAGCCTCTGAGACAATTTGCTTTTAACTGTTCATCTCTACTGGGCATCTGGCCAAACAGTGTATGCATACTGCTTGACCAGTCCAGCCTCCACTCTACCTATTGCGTAGCTGTTGGACATGAGAGGGGAAAAATTGGTTGGAAAGTGAGCATCACGGGCGACAAAGTAGTTCATTGTGAGAAACAAATCCATTAGGAACAAGCCATCCTTAGATACTGCAATTGTGGGACTGTATTTGACCTGTAGGGTATAAACTATCCTACAGTGCTAATTCACAGACTCCATCAGGCATTAACAATCTGCTGGAGGGACAAGAAATGAAATAAAATGAGCAAGCAAATCAAACCATTGAGATGCACAGGTGTAAAGTTCTCCATTATTTTTTCTGCATTTTAATATATACATAAAAGATAAAATACTAAAATCTTCCTGCTCAGAGTTGATAAGAAGCAACTCTCTCAAGTCTTAATAATCAAGACATTGATTTAAATTCCTTTGAAGCAGGAATCACTTTTAAGAAGAAGGTAATGTAAAAAATGCAGACTGTCATCCCTGTTTTGCCAATGTTTTCAAAGGCACAGGCATGGGAATGACTTGGATATCTGCGCTTCACTGAAAAGTGGTATGCTTAGGTTTCTTATGACCATACTTGGAGTTTTGTTACAGTGTCTGACATCTGGACTACAGTGTTTAAGTTCAAGGTAACTTCTTGAGTCCAACTGTCTACTCCACAGCATCCAGATTCTGGTTCTCAATGATCTGGTCAATGATGTGATGGGAGTAACTAGTGCTTGTATACTTAGCTTTATCCATTAACCGCAGAGGGTCTGGTAGTTTTCTTTAGTAGTTAAATAGAGTCACTCTCATAGTGTAGAGGTTTTCAAGGGAGATGGGTTGCTGTATGGGAACTGTTGAGTCACAGCCTGAACCACTGATTGATCACCTGAGGCAAGGACTGGGTCAGCCCTGAGAGCACAGGTGAAGGCAGTTCAGCTGTGTGACCAGAAAGGATGGAGCCTGGCTGCACCTCTCCTAGACTCCATTTAAGGGCTGACTTCCCCTGGGGAAGGGTCTCTTTCTGGAGATCCCTCCTTTTGGAGTTTTCTACTGCAAGCCTAGGGTATGGGTTAGCATTTTGTTTTTGTCTCCATCCACCACAATAGTCTTTCTAACTATCAACCTGTAAAATACTATTCTAACCACGCTACTCTTCTAACTGTACATTTAATTGTGCTGGCCATAATTACCAGCTGGCCGTAATTACCAGCTGGCCCTAACTAGCAGGCCTATTTTGGAAAGTAAGAAAGATGCTTGTTCTGTACAAATGTATTGAATGTCCTGAGAAAGCCCACATGGCCCAAGGAGGGAAAAAAATAAGGGGTGATAAGATTATGTGAGAGCTCAAACCAGTATATTCTGTTTTCTTTCTTGCCTTCAAGCTTTTGCCTTGCAGATTCCTGTCTAGGGTGATCCTGTTTGTGTCATCGTTGGAGTGGTCACAGAAGAAATTAGAGTGAAGGAAAGTTCATTAGTTGTGTAGATGCTCATAAGATAGCTAAGATTAGTACCTAGTTTTCATGAGTTCCTATTTTAGCAATGCCACATTTAAAAAAAAAACAAAAACAAAAACAAAGAACTTCAGTAAGGCTTTTTGAGAAATGAAAGCAGTGACTGGACCTAATGCTTTTTCCATTCTTTCATTTTTTCTTTGTATTCAACCACATAGTTGTTTGCCTTGCATTCACTGGCATATTTTTGCAGTGTTTGTAAGGGTGTATCTTGAATGCGTGAAGTGTGTTACTGAACACAGAAGGAAGAATAGTAATGGAAAGCTTCAATTCTACACTTAAGGTTCTCCTTTAATTTGCTTTACCTTCTGAGTGTAAACTGCCACTCCATCTTCTGTAAGTTGTTTCCGTAATTTGTGACACACTAAGAATAAATAGAAATGAAAAATCCAAAAGAAATTACTTTCTTATAAAACTGCTGTTTTATTTCTGACAAAGCAGTCAAATAGAGTAAGTGGGATCTTGGCATTTCTGACAGAGTTTTCTGCTGTGTGCTTCTAGTGTAGCAGAACAGCCTGGAGTAAGATCTGGGATGATTTGACACAGGCTTTTTTGATGGCCATGCTGATTTAAGTAGTTCGTTTTGCTCATTCCTGCCCAAGTTTCTGGCAGGAGAATGGAAACAAATGGCAGAGTCAGGACAGAGGTTGCTGAAGCCAGAAAAGCTGCTTGTAATGCAAAAAAAACCCCAAAAAACCAGAAAACAAAAAACCATTGCAATCTGTGGTAGAAAAACTGCTGTTAAAAGCATATTGCTGCTTTCTTTTACATCACTTAAAGCATTGTTTACTGTTTATCTGCCACGTAGTTCTTAATGAGAAGTAAGAACCTTTATTTCTTCTTTTCCCCTTAGTCGCATTGCTCTTTGTTTTATTGTGTTTTGGTTTTGTCCAGAGATTAACATATGAAGAAAAAATGGCTCGTCGATTGCTGGGAGCAGACAGTGCTGCAACTGTCTTCAATATACAGGAACCAGAAGAGGAGCCTGCAATACAGGTGCTGCGTAACTCTACAAATACATAGGAAAATTTAAAAAAATAATAGTAATTCTTTAATAGGCAGCAGTTCACTTTTTAAAAGTCCCACACAAGACAGTAAGTGTACTCAAGATAGGAGAGATTTGATTACAGAAGTCATACGTTATGTATCAGCAAAGTAAACTGGAGAGCCACATGCCTGCTGCTCAGTTTTTCCATGCTCAATAAGGTTGAGAGTTCTCAAATGTCTTCTGTCAGCTTTAAACTCTCCCATTTATCCTATTCTGTCCTGCCCTTTAAGTCTGTCAGGCAAAAATACATCTACTATCTTGAAACTGTCTTGTCTTTATGTGTGTAATCTGCACTTTTTGGATGCTGATCAAAAATGCAACGGAAAGTCTGCTTGGAAGGCCAGGTACACGCTCCCATGGTTCAGATGCCAGAGCTGCAATTCGGAAATGTGTAGCATTTGTTTGCTTATGTTACCACATAAGTACCTTCTCCTCCTGTGCGCTCGCGTTTCCATGAGCACCTCTCTGTCTTCTTTCTGCCTCTTGATCTTTTTTTCTACTCTTGCAGGAAGTTTGTTCTACTGCTGCTTCTGTAGTGAGTCCTATGGATATTCAGAAGGTTAACATTTTCACCTTGTTCTTGTTTTGTTGTTGCTGATTTTTATTTTTTTTTTAATTATTGGGGTTTTTTTTAATTTTCTGTTGTCTGTCTACTTTCCCTTTTACTGTTCTTGGTTCATAACAACAGATCACCAACATTAATAACTGGGGAGATTTGGAATGCCTTCCATTTATGATCTCTAAACCTAATTGATTGCAGGCAGCTTAACTGCAGTAGTGGCATGCTCCAGTATCTTTCTGCTCTAATGTTAACCTATACTGATACTAACGGCCTTGCATCTAAATCACCTGCTCTGTATGTATATTTCATGATCTGATTTTATTCCTTTCTTTCACTGGAAGTCTACCATTAAAAAAAAAGCAGTTTATGAAGGTATTTCTCCTATTTACTGTGAGCTTCTGTAACCAGCCAGCAGAAAGGCTACATGTCATTCCCAGACTAGAATCAATGACAAAAAATGGGCATGTGTAAGGAAACTTTACATGAGATGCATTTTGTGTCTTAAAGATCAGAGACAGCGGTCAAAGGTCTTCTAAAAGAGAGCTTAATTTATGCAGAGGGAAAGTCATTGGCTAGCAAATAAGTTTTTTTTTTTTCTGCCTTGAGCTTTCTTGTGTTCTGGCATTACCTTTGCTATCATTAAGTTTCAAAACTGGGCTGTTTTACTGAGTGAACAGTTCAAGAAAGTAAATAATTCTGTGTCACAGTAATGTTTCCCAGTATCTGGGAAATTTAAACAAGCAGTGTAGTTTCACACTAGGTGAAACTTTCTGCTCTTTGCAAATCTTGAATATTCTGATGAGTAACGTTCTTTCTACAGAAGAAGTGATACTTTTGGCCAGCCAGAGGAGGAACCATGGTAACAGGAGTGAAGAATGGCAGTGGTGCCATTTTCTCATTTTTACAGGCAACTGTAAACAAAATCATTTCAACCTTCTGGTGCAGCCTCTGGTACGGTTCTGTGCAAACAGCAGATGTGAACCATATGGTCTTCTGGCCATCTGGAAGCAAAACCCACCCTAAATCTGCCTGTACCCTGAAGGAAATATTACTGTGCTTCTTTTTGTCTTTATGAACTGCTTTGGAATACTTTTATAACATATTTTTTTTTAATTGAAAGCAACCAATGGCTTTCTTTCCCTTAATAAATTAGATCTTAAGATAACACGGAATACAATTTTTGCCTCGTACCAGATGTTTTCACTGTTTCATAGGGAAGTTGTTGGAAACACGGATGATAGTCTTCTTCTGCAACTAGATAGGATTTCCCTTTATATGGAGGATCTCAATGGATTGTCAGAGATCAGTAGAATAACAACAACGGTCGCAGAAACATCTTGCACGCATCGTGATGCAACCCATCTGAATATGTTGACTCTTGATGTTAATATGAACCTTTGTTATTTGACAGGAATATAAAGTCTCCAGCTTTGAGCAAAGATTGATCAGTGAAATTGAATACAGGCTGGAGAGATCTCCTGTGGAGGAATCAGATGATGAGGTGCAGCATGGAGATGAGCCTATTGATAACAATGCGTCACCGTATTTTGAGATAAAGCTGAAGCATTACAAAATCTTTGAGGGAATGCCGGTCACCTTTACCTGCAAAGTGACAGGAAATCCAAAACCAAAGGTAAGAGAAGAGAATGAGCAGTTCTAGAAATGCTCTGCAGAGCTCTTTGTTAGTACCTTACCTTTAGCACCTAGACCCTGTGGGTTGTGTCTTGCAGGAATAGTAGACATTCTCTTTAGATTCCTAGCTGATGATCTGGCAGTTGCTGTTGTTATCATGGAATGTGTTTAGATTTATCCAACAGAAATCTACTATCAAGCTTTAGTTCTTTTATCTCTCTTTCTTGAGACTTCATCATCAATATTTTGTCACTCTCAGTTTCCCTCAGGGTACATCTGCATCACAAAATGTAGTGTGATTATAGAAGTCTGCGTTTGAGCTGGCGCTGTGGTTCCAAAAGCAATCACAACAGGTTAACAAGGGTTAATTGACTTCAGTACAGCAACATGCTTATACAGAGGTATATTGCTTCTGGTTCAGGAGCCAATGTGGATCTGCACTCTTCAGCACTGCAGTTTGTATCTACGCACTTTAACAAGACTAGACTTTGCTGAAAGTTAGAGAAAGGCAGACTGAAATTCCATACGCTCCCACATATCGCAGTAACAAGATGAGACATGACCATGAGGTTCATAATGATGAGCTTCTGAAGGAGGGTTGGGCTTGGGAAGTGTTTCCTTTTTGCAAATGTAAAAGCACCAGCTGTATGATGTCAGTAGTCTGGAATAATGCCTTTCTTTGGTAGGTAACATTGAACCATTGCATAAATTACCCGGCAATTAAATGACTTGTTACAGATTAGGCAAACAGCAGCAGCATCTCAGGCTGCCTTGTCGAAGCCTGTGTGTTCCTCTGAGGTCCTTGCCATTCTTACAGTGACCTCTTGTGGCTAGGGTGCTCTTATTTATCTCTTGGATGTCTAAGAGGTGCGTGAAAATGAGAAATGTACAGGTATTGAGAATCTTGAACTGATTTTACATGCCCAATGCTATAAATACATGGTACTGCACAAACTGTAAACAGGAGAAATCAGCTTTGTCAGATAGTGGAGAAAGCACAACAGCTACAGCAACATCTAGTCTAGCAAGTAGTACAGGTCATGAGAAGCAAATCTGTAGAACGAGGTTTCCATCTCTGCATGTATTTCAGGAGGTTTTACTTCAGACTGGCTCTAATCTCATCCTATGGGCTGGAGCAGATGCAGCATATTAGATGTGTTCTTGCAGCTCATTTTCTGGCTTAGTTTCATTTGAAAGAGGTCCAACTCTGTACTCCAAGACCACTTCACAGCACAAACCACTGCAGTATAGTAGGGGTGATCAGTGTACTCATCAAAAAAGCACTCCTGCTTCAAACTGGAGTAGTGTAAACACTGACAAGTCTGACTGAAGCCAGCCCTTTGATGTCCAGCATTATTTTTGACATGACCGTACAGAGGAGCCCAAGGTGCTGAATAAGGCTGGAAGACAAATTGTTTCATTGCTGTTAGAGGTGAGGTGTGCTCTTTGTGCCTGGAGCTTATGACTAAGCTGCTGAATGACCTCCTATGAGTCAGCCTTGGTCAACTGTTGCCATTCCCTTTTCACACTTTTCAATTAGGGTGCAGTCTCACAGTTATCTCAATCTAATTTAAGACAGATGAAAGAGGATGCCTCTTCCTCCTTCCCTCACTCTCCTTGTTTTGGAATTAGCAACTGCACAGTCGGGAAACCACCGTTGTTTGTATTTCCCTTAAAATGCTGCCGTGTGAAGGACTATTCTGATGCGAATGCAATCTGAATCAGATGCAGCAGTCTCTTTTTTTTGTGTTGCCAAAGCATGCACATTAAGTGATTTGCTCTTGCACCTGGGACTGTGACCCTTTTTTCCATTCACTTGCAAATGCTTTGTGCGATTTCTGAAGTTGCTTGGGAGGAAACCAGCTTGGGACCTGTTGCATAGCTACTTGTGAGTTGGACTAAGCAAATGTCAAAGGCTCTTCTCCTGACTGAGTGTGCCAGCATAACAGTTTTGACTTATTCAGTGGTTGAGGGCTGTCCTGCTATAGTTTGTTGAAGCTGGAAGAGTTGCCCCTGAACAAATTCTTTACTTTGGCAAATGAGAAGCTGGAAATAATTTACTAACTTAAAGCTCCTCCCTTCTAAGTATTCTGTCACCTCTGCCAAGGAACAGCTATGGGAAGGACTGTAGTGTTTCTGAAATCTGGCATTCATTATGAGGGATTTTTCTAAAGAAGGGTTATTGGCTTGATTATTTTTTCCCCTGAACATGCTGTGTAAATTGAATACTGATGTGCAAATTCTGTCTTCATAAATATGACTTTTTAAATCTGAGGTTCCTTTTGTTATAACCATCTGCATAATGTAAAACTATTTTATCATTAAAATGAGAGCTTGTGGTAATGCAAGAGGGATTGTGGAGTACTTCTTTTTGAGGGATAGTTCTCTTTGGAATTAGGAAAATGCCATACTAAAGGTTAATTGAGACTTGAATGTCGCATAAAGCTTGTACTGCTCTCTCTACATGAGGCTGAATATAATTCATAGTGATTAAAAATGACTGTTGCTTAAGATCAGAAACCCTTCTGTACTGTGTATTCTGCTGTATTTCCAGTCATTACACATCAGTGTCTGAAAATCTGATACAAATAAAAGCAATCCAGCTGCAGAGCTCAGGGCTTACGTAGTTCAATGGTACATTTATTAAAAGGGATCCTAGAAAGAAAATGCTTTACTTCAAGGGCCATTGTCTCCTATAAATTCCAGGCCAGATAAAGACAATGTTAAGCACCTACTACACCTAAGTAAAAACAGTTGATGCCAATGCTTTCAGATCCTAGTGGAAATGAGTATGGGACAACATATGCATGATGTTTGGATAGCTGGTTCAGTTAATATTTGCTTGTATTTCTATGTAATAACTCCTGGCACGTCTGCTGATATTTCTGATAAGTGCACTGTTATTGAATAATTACTGCTTACTGCAGTAGATTTCCAGGCAGCGTTATGACACATACAAAGCATGCAAGTTAGAACTCATTTTTTGCAGCTCCACTGTTACCAACATCCATTATGATTTGTATATTAGTGATCAAATATCTTTTGCATCTCCAGTAAGTGCTCTGTCAGCAGATGAGAAGACATTACCAAATCTTTTGTTAGCACCATAGAGTCTTTGCAAGCCTGCTGACAGACAAAATGGAAAACAAGTATAACCAGCTATTGAGGAAATGAAATCATTTCTTGTTGCACATAATGCTTGTTAATATATAAAACATCCACGGTAATTAATTTTTCAAGGAAATTTCCATTCATTCTCTCCCAAACGTTCTCCATTGTGTTTTAGTGAAATGCACTTCAGTTAATTTTATCCCCACATGAATGTATGAGAGCTCTGCAATGTTGCCAAGTGGCAGCCCCCATGCTTGTGTCTGCTGCCCCTAGGGATGCCTGCAGCCAAGGCCGCAGGGAGGCAGCACAGTTTGCAGGGAGCAGAGGTCTGTCGGTGCCTGCAGGTGCTCGGAGTGAGGCTGTAGCACAAAGCCACCCCCTGCAGCAGCTAAACCTCAGCCCCTCTCTCTTCATGCCTTGTCATGTGGGAGAGCAGTTTCACTGGGGAACCTGATATCAGCTAACGCTGCTTTAAAGAGAAGCGAGGCCTGCTTGTGAGGGCAGGGGGGTTTCTAAAGTACACCCAGCACTACGTGGCGAGTGGGTGTCCTCACAAGTGGCTCTAGGAGTACAGAACAGTGCTGGCTTTAGGGAGAACGTGCTTCAGGAATGACAGTAAGTGCTGGCCTGTGCAGGTGCTGCTCTGGGGAGCTGGCTGCACCTTGTGACATTCCTACGTGTTGCTCTGGGAGTTTTCATGCTTTCCTGCATCTCTTTTATTTTTTAGCACACCAAATTCAGTTTGGGGTTTTCCTTGTTTTTAAAATACGTCGCAAAAAAAAAAAAAAAAAAGTCAAAATTGAATCTTATTATCATTATTGCCTTAAGTCTGAGGCATTAAAATCACATATGTGGGTTTTGTATGTGTGTGTAATTTATGGATTACTGTTAAGATGTTATTCCACATAGATCATTTTTTGGCTCATCGAGATCAGACCTTGGGTCAGCCAGAGAAAAAAATTATGTATCGAAAGCAATGGAAGAGACCTCTGCTTGAGGGGTGATTTAACTTTGCTGTACAGCTTGCAACTCTGCTGTTGCTGGCACACAGTTGTTAAGGGCTGTCAATGTACCGAGTGATTTGAAGTATTTCCTGTTGCTTTGTAAAGCTGCCTTTCCTGTGGACGTCTGCCACGCGGGTGATGCTGTGGGGCTCGGGTGTTGTTGTTTGATCACTGCCCGTATTTGTTTCAGCAGATAGCATCTAGGGATGTTAACCTAGCAGCACAGGGCAGCTTGCTGCTGGCTGCCTCATGTGGGTGCAGAGGATGGGGCAGCGCTGTGTTAGAGCAGTGAGATCATTACTGAACTAATTGTTCTGATAATTACCTTGGTTTAAGTTTTCCTTTTCTGAAAGGAAAGCAGTAGCTTTAAGTTCCTCCAGCTTCATCAGATGAAAGTGAAACAAAAATGTAAAGTTATTAATCTTATCTGCTCTCGAACTTTCCTTTGCAATGACATTTATTTTAGCTCTTCTGCTGCTGCTCAGTCTGGGATCAGCACAACCCTTAGGCACATCTGTACTTGTCAGACGGGTGCTCACACTCCAGCCTTTCTCCCTGAGCCACCGCTATCCTGGAACTTGGATTTTATAGGAAGTAGTTCTGGAGTGTGGTTCTGCACCTCTGCAGGCTGGACCCATTCCTTTATTGCCAACCAGAGAAGTTTTCAGCAGCTAAGATTTGGTAGCGCTGCAAATTGAGAAATGATGTTGGTGAGCACCTACCTCTTACCAGCCGTGCTTTGTTTTTCCCTGCAGATTTATTGGTTTAAAGATGGGAAGCAAATTTCTAAGAGAAGTGATCACTACCGAATTCAAAGAGAACCTGATGGAACTTGCTCACTGCATGCTGCAGCCTCCACCCTGGATGATGATGGGAATTACACCATTATGGCTGCTAACCCACAGGTAAATGAAGGTTTGGCTCCAGAGCAAACATGCTTCTCAACATGAATCTTCAGAACCTTACGTATGTGTGATTTAATTAAATGATGAAGTCACCACCAAGTATGTAAGTTAGATTTCTGTTTTCATCTTGCATCAGTAGGGTGGGACCTTTCTATCTCCCAGAGATTAGCAACTCAACAGCCTTTTTTTTTCCTAAGGTTTGAGGTTTCAGAGGGAACGGGTGTTGTTGTTTGATGACTGTTCCACCATTTGTTTCAGCAGATAGCATCTAGGTACCTTAACCAAATATGGACACCATATGTATTATACAAGGGGGGGAAAAGTCAAGTTTACCAGCAGTAACTCAATCTGGCTGCTGAGCTTTCAGTTTTCTTCTCATGACACCTCTTATTGACTGAGGCCAACTCTTTGAAGTGAATTGGAGCGCACTGCACCTCTGCACGGTTACCTCAGGCAGGGATTGCAGCTCTGTAGCAAACGATTCCTGTGCTTACTGGGGAGGAGTGCAGAGTCTTTTGTGTTGGTACCAGAGTCTTAAGCGCTGTGTCCTGAAACGCAGAGTGTTACTGCATCTGTAATATTCTCTGTTCTTCACAGACCCCAAACGAGAGCTGAGGTATACAACATTGTTAACTGAAGTTACCGTTGAAGCATCCTATTGAACTAACTTTCTCAATACACTTTTTCCCAGAGCAAAGCAAATCATGGAAAATTATTTGCATGTGAGAAACCAAGGCAGTAACATAACTGAGGGATATAACGAATTACTTTCTTCTGTAGCACCAAATAGCTTGCCAAGACCACGACTGCAAGTAGAATTACACTGTTAAATAACCTCCATCACTGAGACAGAGCTTAATCTAAGAATATTGTGCTGTGTTATGATGTTGCTAGGTTACATGACACTTTTGCCTTGCTCTTTTTACTGTCAGTCCTGCCCTTTCTGCAGTGTGTTTCTCTATACAGAGACAAGAAAGAGCAGTGTTTAGATCCCTGATTCTACCGACTGCAGGGCTTAAATCTAGAGAGTCTGAACATTTTTTCTACATATGCTAATAACAGAAATAAAGAACTAGCAGATGGCCAGGGGAATTCTTCAAGCTGGGAACTTCTATGTATAAAAAAGAAGCATTGTATTTTAACGCTCGGTGCCATTTAAGTTGTGCAAATTCACCACAAGTTTAAAAATGACTTAAAAAAAAAACCCACAAAACAACTGTGCTGAAGGTAGGATACAAATCCTACCTGTATTCCTATCAATGTTGTGTCAGTGCATGCGTAGGGTTTCTCTGTGTAGTTTTATGTGGGATCCAAAATCTTAAAGAAGCTGGTGAATAAGGTACCCTCCTATCTGGACACTGGCACCTGTCCCTCTGTAACTCACGTATGCATATTTAGGCCTTCGTTTTTAACAAGCTGTTCTGCTCATCTGATGACACCAGTGAAGTAGCCTAGATCATTAGCTCTTGTCATTGGTGACACAAATTTGTCAGTGTACTAACGCAGATGTGCTGAACTGAGATGGTTTTGTAATGACCCAAGTTTTGGGGATGGAAAAAACAGTTTGTGCTTTCCTTTCCTTTTTGGGGAAAAAAACCCAAACAAACAAACAACAGGAGCATCCTTTTCTAGATCCCCAAAACAAAGCATATTTCATCAAGCACATGTGTTCGTTCTTCATGGTGTGCTTCCCAAACAAAGATGCTCCTCTCCTGTTAGCTTGCTTTTACTATGTGTTTCACAGCACAGTGGAGGCAAAGAAGGGCTGTGAGTTCACATACAAGCCTCTTGCACTAAAATATCTGGATTCCAATTCTTTTAAGTCATCCCAAGTAGAAATAGTTCTGGCATAGCTTCCTAAATCCTAACGGAAAGTTGTCCATGTCTCAAAGCTATCACGAAGTTAGGCAAATTTGGCAACCTTTCCTTAAGAAAAGCAGAATATGTAAACATAAGGGAGTTGACATCAGGGTTCTGATGGACTGGCAGATACTTGCTAGATGGTGCTGTGATTTGGTCATTGCTATTAGGACTATCAATCTACAGAGCAAAAAGGCATGTTCGTAGCTGCTAGAAATTAATTTATCTTATGAAAGCAAAGGATTTCATTCCTTAAAACTCTGCTGGTTTACACTGTCACACTATCTGGATAAATACTACAGCATTTATGTATGCAAGATGATTTGTTGATGCACCTTAGAAATTACCTGTGGTAGTTAATGCTGCACTACTGCCTACAGCATGAAGTGCAGCGAGCTGGAATTAAGTTGTAATGCTGCTGGGGTTTGCAGTACAACTTGCCATCTAACTCGAGCCAGAGAAAACTGATCTCAGATCTAGAAAAACATAAAATCTTGCTTGGTTCAGGCTGTTACTTAAAAGTTACAACCATTAACTGATCTCTTGCCACGAGCTCTAAGCATGGTCCTTATTTTCACCTTCTTTCTCTCCACTTCTTTGCAGTGTGCACCCAGAGGTCCCCTCTCCTGTGCTTTCTAGGTCATCTTCCCACGAACCATTTGCCGTATGCATTGCTCCTTCCTGTTCATCCCATAGCTTTTCCAAATCTGGGGCTTCCAGCTAGTTCTTTACTGTACAAATTCCTTCCAGGACTTTGTGTTTCCATTTGTGATGCCTTCATGTGTTGAGATACACAGCAGTTATTCAAAATAGCGTTAATTCATCACCTGTCAGAATAAAATAAATACACAGCAGTGCCTGAAATAGAAATCTACTTGTTCCAGGTGTTTTTAATGGTAACACAAAAAAACTTCTGCATAAGCAATTGCTTCAGGTTATGTGCAATGGTTTATTTTACAGTTTTTCTTGTGGGCTATACGGGTCATGGGAATGGAATTGGGATACAAGGATCAAGTCTGACAGCCCGGCAGTGACAAAAATGTCTTGGCCTTTTGAAGGCTCAGTCAGTTCATTGTATGGCTTACAGCCAGCGGTGCTGCTACCTCTTGGTGTTTTGTGTGGTGGTGGTCTTTTTAAAATGTAAAAACTGGATAGAAAGTGGATGGTGGAACGTTTTAAGCAGTCACAGTTATTTCCATCTGTTCATTGTTAGTTGCAAGCTGATAAAACAGTTCAATATCCGAAGGTATCTTGACAAATGATTTTAAAGGATTTTTTGAAAGAAGAGGTGATATTACAGGCTCTGTAACAGGCAGGCAACAAAGAAGAGATCAGGTTAATCTCAGTTAATCTCAGGTTGATCTCAGTTAATTGTCTTCCTCTTCATCGTTACTACAGGGCAGAATAAGCTGCACAGGAAGGCTGATGGTTCAAGCTGTAAATCAGAGAGGCCGCAGCCCTTGGACACCTCCTGGCCAGCCTCATATCAGAAGGTACTTGATGCTTTTTTTTTCTCTCTTTGAACATTATCTGTTTTGGAAAATGGCTGTTTTGAAGAATCTCAAGTAAGAAGGCAAGTTAGAAGTGTGGCATACAGGAAGAAGCCTCCCCACTGCTAAAACCTCTGCAAACCTTGCACAATAGGAAACTAGTGGGCAATGTCAGAAATGACATAGCTTTAAAGTATCTTGAACTTTGCTTGTCTCCCTTTCCTTTCTTTGTGCTGTTCACTGTCCACAAGTTAGACTGTAAGCTGTGAGGAAAGCCGCTGTTGCTTCTGTGGGTATTCAGCATTTCAGTGCAGTGGGAGCCTGTACAGTGTGCAGCGTTAGTAAGCATTTTTTAACAGAAACAGCAGAAATAACTGTAAGCCACAGAGTTTATTGCTATTTCAGTGATTTCATTTCAGGTTCTTAGCAGGAATTATGAGTCAGATATAAAGCATTAAACTTATCTTCAGTGAGTTTACAATTATTCACACACGGAGCTTCGGTTTACGTTTTTGGACCATATAAGGGAATTTTCCTCTCCATATGTTTTTTTTCATTGCCCAAAGCATTTATGAGGGTATTTAGCACAGCTCAGACATCTTCAGACAATACAAAAAAATTCCTTTTGGTTTCACAAACAGGGCTGCTTTCAAGGAAGCATGAGGGCTCTTCTTCAGGCCTTCGCCGTAACGAGGGCTGTGATTTGCTTAACGGTCACAACAGCTACAGAATCTCAGTACTGCCTGATGGCCATATGTAGAACAGATGTAATTACCTGCTGTCAGAGTGCAGCAAAGCAGCTCAGATGCCCCCTGCCACACTGCAGAGCTGCGACGTGACATACAGGCATCCTCTGCCAGCCCTTGTGCCTGGAGGGTGTGATGAGATGGGGCTGCTGAACAGATCTCATCTGACTTCTACATTGAGCAAACCAGGTTTCCCCTGTCCTGAAAGTGCTGCCCACTGATGCACCTGCAAATAATGGGTACAAAAGAAAAGTCTGTGTTAATCCAGGAAGGGAAAAGCTGCAGGGAAGAGTCAGGTTTCAGCTAAACTAGCTGATGCACAGGAGTGAGAAAGGGGAAGCATTTTTAAAAGGGAGTAGTGGAGGAAGGGAAATAGGTATGGACAAGAGAGAATGGAGCAGCTGACACTTCTGTGTCTCTGTGAAGGATAAAATGCAGACCTCCTCCTGCAGCAGGCAGAGCCCCCACTAATAGGGGTGAGCCCTGTTTTGCAATCTTGCCAAACGCAATTGAAATCAATTGAAATCTGAGGCCACTCGCAGCTGCTATTTTGCTGTTCAGTTGCTGCAAGCACTCTGGCAGTTTTGGATGGGTGTGTAGCAGAGAAAGGAATTGTAAGAGATTGGCATATAGCAGTTTAATTAAAATGAGAGCAACTACTGGGAATTCTTACTTCCCGCACAGTTTCAGGTCTGTTTCAGCGCTGTTTCTGTCTCGTGGACCTTCCCACTGCTCCCATCATCCAGTTCTGCCCCGAGCTGATGAAATCTGAGCATGGACCACATTCCTGTGACAAACTCCCACCACCACAGCTTTTCTAATGGAACAGACCACAGTCATGTGCTCTGCTCTACAACTGGTCACACACTTTCGTACACTTCTGATAAGTAATATTCCTGTTGCATTACAGCCTTTTTTTTTTCTGAAGGCTTTTTTTTTGCTTGAGAGCAACAACAGTGTCTATGACAAGTGATTATTAATGAACTTTCTTACTTTCTACGCTGCTGACAGGCTTTTTCCTGAAGTACTAGATCTCTTACAGAGTGTGTTGTGGCAGACCTCTGGTTTTGTTACCTTCACTACTTCATTGCCATTTTAAGGCATGCTTTCTTGATGTCACTTCATTTTTCATGTGGTATTTTTCTGAAACTTGCTCTGCTTGCAAAAATTACCTTCTCAGCCTTACTTGGAGAGAGGGTTTTAAAACATCTGGGGTGTGCAAGGTTCAGGCCCCCACATCACAGCACTCGGTGCTGCAACATCAGAGTGATCTCACAGCATGCAGCAGACCGCAGTTCCAAGCAGATGGTCTTAAAATGCATGAGATGGAAGGAAGATTTAAAAATGTGTGTATTAGGGTTACTTTGTAAAAGATGTAAAAAAAAAAAGACACAAAGTTTCTGATACTAAGGAGTGTGCTGATTTAGCTTTCCTTTTCTACCTGTAATTTGAAAGCCTAGTTAAGGCACGATTCAAGAAAAAGCCCCTATCGTTAAAAAACTGCTTTGATCACAAACTCAGCCTCTTTATTTTCCACTTCCTTGGGTGTGATTTTTTTCCCCCTGGCTTCCCTCAGTGCTGCTGCCTTCTGCAGCTACAGCAGTGGATAGTGGCGTGCAGGAAGGCTTTTACCCTTCAGTGCCACCTGTTCACCTGCTGTTTTCTGAAGGGTAAATGTAATTGCAGGGGCTGTGTGCTTGCTGCTCCATAGCAGGACAGGGTGGGGTTACATACATAGGACACCAGAAATGAGGAACTGAAGCTATATTCTAAAGCCTGCCAACTTTAATTTGTATTTCAGTGATTTAAAGACTAAACAAAATGTTCTATCATGTACAAGTACAAGATGATTACAAGTAATTATTCTGTAGCAAGACTGTTTTCTAGATTTTTCGGGATGCCTCTTCTGATATAGTGGTATCTGACTACACTGATAGCTTTCTGCTGTCTCCTGGTGTTTTAAGGCCGCGGTCTCGATCGAGGGACAGTGGTGATGAAAATGAACCAATCCAGGAACGATTCTTCCGGCCCCATTTTCTGCAGGCCCCTGGAGACCTGACTGTTCAAGAAGGAAAACTCTGCAGGATGGACTGCAAGGTAAGTGCCAGGCACAGGCCAGCAGCTACCTCACTGTAACCTCGGCAGTCAGAAAACAAGTGGCATGAGATACTTCTAAAATGCTATTTTACCTATTGGCATTTACCTGTTTTTGCTTTGCAGCAAAAGTTGACAAATAAAAACTTGCATCCTCAGGAAGGAAATTGCTTCAGGCAAACCTGAGAGCTAACAGAAAAAGGAATGTTAAATTCACTTCCTTTGGGCTGCAGGGGGAAGCAGCTCGCACTTTAAAGCCAGCATGCTTTGAAGTCTTTTTACTACTTCAGTTTCCATCCTCTGTTACTTTCAGACCCTCTGTGACTTTAACAGAAGTGATGAAGGCTGGGGCTTCTGTTTACTCAGTGATGATCTACTTGGGAGAAGCTGTTTGTTTTCATGCAGAACCCCATCAGGTGGCAGGGCTTTTAGTAGTGCAGGACTCACACAGACAGACTGAAACAATGAAATGGAATGCAGAGCTCAGTGATTAGTCAGCTAACATCTTTTTGTCTACAAGTTTTTGACAAGAAATTAGTTGAGAAATACGGTGTCATTCCAGGTGAAGAGCAAATGATGAGAAAGGATACAAGGTGTCACCCTACCTTTTGTTGCAATGTATTGTTGTTTAGATTCTAGCATATCTGAACACTGATCTTTTTTCAGTCACACCTTTAAGACACCATGGGATTCAGGCAGTTGGCAAGTAAATGAATGCAACTAAGTCAATGTGTAATTCAGATAAAATTAGTTCTTTAAATCTTGTGGTATACCTGCATTAGCAAACAAAACCAAACTCTTCTGAAGTAATGAGCCAGGACTCCTTTGCTGTTTTTGCACGGCAAATAATTTCCCGTTATTCCGTTTGCACTGAAGGTTAGCGGATTACCAACACCAGATCTGAGCTGGCAACTGAACGGGAGGCCCATCCGTCCTGACAGCTCTCACAAAATGCTGGTGCGTGAGAACGGGGTGCACTCCCTGATCATAGAGCCTGTCACCGCGAGGGATGCGGGAATCTACACGTGTGTGGCCAGCAATCGGGCTGGAGAAAATACATTCAGCCTGGAGCTCACTGTTGCAGGTAACATCTTCGTGCTGAAAGCGTAAGGTAGAAAAGTAAAGTGCTGTCCCAGGACGTGGCTGAGGGTTGGGGAAGGGGAAGAGGAAACCAGTGACAGAGCCGTATCATATCTCTAAGGTGATACGTTTATGTTACGTTTTGTTCAGTAGCATGGAACCTCCGGGTATGTTGTGAAGAAAAGAGGGTTGTTTTCATCCCGAGGCACAGCTGAGGCCACAAAGCCAACTGTTTACTTCCTTGTGTTGTGGATTTTTTTCCCCACAGCAATATGTGCAGACCCGTATCTATGCCTGGGCTGATAGCATGACATGGTTCGCAGGGCGTTAGATTAATGCCATTCCAACCAGCTGGCAAAGTACTTCTTGTACATTTAAAGGCTCATCCTTTTATGGAGGATGAAGGAGCACTGCTTTACAAGCACAGTGCAGTCAAAGAATCTAGTTGCCAAGCTCTACATTTGAACTATTCCAATGGCTGAGGGGGAGGAGAAAGAAAATCCTCAACTCTATTAGATCTCCCATTTCTTTTATTAAAATAAGGATGTGACTGTTTTCTTCAGATGAGGTGGGGCTAGGCTTTGTAACTAATGAAAACGACACCAAATTTGCCTGCCTCTTAGGCTGTTCCTTTATATACGCAGAAGTGTCAGCAATACTGCAATCCTTATTTTCACAGCTAAGGAAGTACACAAAGCACCTGTGTTTATAGAGAAAATACAGAACACCGGTGTGACTGAGGGATTTCCAGTGCGACTGGAGTGTCGAATCTCGGGGGAACCGTCGCCTCAGATATTTTGGAAGAAAGAGAATGAGTCAATCACACACAATACTGACAGAGTGAGGTAAGATGGTCTGAGAATTATCTTGCTCTTCCTAACTTCATTAATGATTTGTCCTGTAACACGAGTGAAAACCAAAAAGGTCGTAAGAATGCTTTGTGTGAGCAGCACCATATTAACTAGTTACTGTAATACTTCTGGCCAAAGTTGAGTTACATCCACTTGCATGGAACCAACTCCTCCATGAGACAGTGGCTTTATGCACACTTTTCCCCAGCATTTGCTAGTTCAGAGCAACTTGCTTCCATCACCTCCAATCTTTAGCACTCCACTTGTCCCCTTTACCCATGCTTCCTCTGGGAACAAAGGCAGCTAAAAGTTGAGCTCAGTGTTGCTATTACAACATAAACTAGCTTTGGGTTAGCCTTTAAATCATACCAAAACCTCACACCTCTTTACAGGGACATATTATAGGGTAATGGAAAAAAGACATATGTATATATATTTATTTCTAAGATCTGTACGTTTGTCATCAATATTTGACAGTGTTTTGTAGGAATATGTAAGAGAAAATTCCTGATCTATCGAAAGAAAAGGAACTCAATACTGATATGGCACTGTAATAAATTACTGCTGTCCTAAATAACTGCAGATATTTCAGTACTTCACTTCTCAAGTCAGGTCTTGTATCCTGTCCCCACAAAGTTGTGTAAATCTGCTTTCCAGATGTCCTAATCTGTCGCTTTGAAAGAGAAGCTGCTCTGGGTGGTTTCTGCTTCTTTCTTTTTAATGCAGGATATTCCACTGCCAAATTTCCAAGCCGTTTCATTTACCACTTGCTAATTTCAGAGGAAGCTTCACGTTAATTAAAAGTAGACTGTATATTTAATGTCAAACTAGGATGGGGGCTTTTTGTAATGACAGTTAAATGCCTGCACTGTCTTTCAGTTGAAGTAGTAATTTGCAACTTGCCCTTTGTTCAGCATGCACCAGGACAACTATGGCTATATCTGCCTGCTGATTCAGGGAGCTACAAAAGAGGATGCTGGTTGGTACACCGTTTCAGCTAAGAATGAAGCTGGGATTGTGTCTTGCACTGCCAGGTTGGATGTTTATAGTAAGTGACTTCCTTTTTCATGACCGCATTAATCCCTCAAAAGCAACAGTTCTACAAGTGTCAGATTGTTCACAGAATCATTTACGTTGGTCTCTCTTTCTTTTGTTTATAGTTTCTCCTCAATAATAACGATCCACATCAAGACAACAAATGCTCTGTCAAAGTACTGCCGCCATCTTTCAGATACCAAAATAAAACAAGCATGCATGCATTCTATTTTTGCTTAGTATATTAAATATAGCTAATTAACAACAGATAACGGCATGATTAGATGACTTGTGGATCATTATTACTATTACTGTGAGCACTTCCCTAACTTGTTGTATTCTTTTTCACCTTAGTGTGTAGTACGCCTGTGACAACTACCAGAACTGTAGCAGTTAGGCCTTTCTGCCTAACTCTATAGTTTGTTCCAGAGCAGCCCCTTACACAGTGAACATCCTCTTAAACTAAAATCCCATTACCAATCCCCTCATAACAAGAATAAATGAGCGGGAAAATGGGAACGGTAGATGTTTTCTGGGGTGGCAGAGATAGGGAGACTTGGGAATTAGAACCTTGGCTTCAGGAATCCAGGTTCCTCTGGATTCAGGGGGTGGCAATGGCAACCAGATGATTTCCCATTGCAGCCAGTAACCCTAGAACAGGCTGACACTGTAATATTAGAGCACAGAAACACATACCTCGCTGTTAACCTTCTCACTGATATTAGGAAAGGTAGAAAGGAATGCCAGAAAGTCAAGGTAACAACCACAGATGCTTGTTTTCGTTCATCACGTTTGAAGGTGAAACTAGAAGCTGAGGAAAAAAATAAACGCACCAAGAAATGAGACTTACCTTTCGTGTAATCCTTTTCTGCTGCCCAGAAATGAGTGTCTCTTTACGAAGGATAGATTATGAATCTGATGCACACTGTTGCAGAGATGATGATGCCTAATTTTTATTCTTTTTAATTTATAGCTCAGTGGCAACAACCACCTCAGACAACCAAGCCAAAGAAGGTGCGGCCCTCAACCAGCCGATACGCTGCACTGTGTGACCAAGGACTAGACATCAAAGCAGCTTTCCAGCCGGAGGCAAATCCAGTCCATCTGACTATGCAGCCTGGTTTGGTAGAGAGCGATGACCTCTAGATCCGAGCCACCACTTCCATCATCTTCTTTCAAAGCAGAAACACTGAAAGCCATTGCCTTGACCAATGATACTCCTATGTCACTTTATGCAAAGGCAAACACCTTCAAGTACAAAAGATAAACAACAAACACAATAACCATGTATTCCTTATTCAGTATACCAAATTAGAAGAATAGGTAGATTATTAATAGAAATGTACACATTGCACAACAAATCACGTTCACCATTTCCTTATACCTAAGTTGCTTCAGCTCTTTGAATGAATAACTCTTTTCATAAAGGCCAAAATGCATCAGTGAAACAGACTTTTCAGAAGGAAACACTACCAACCACCACGTGCCTTCGTAAGCAGTAAGCAGATGTTACACAATGCTAATGGTGCGAGATGTTCTCTTTGAGGCCATTAGATGACAAAGAAAACTAGGATGCACGGTAATCTCTAGTTCTAAAATGGCAATGCATTCTGGTAGCTACAGTGAACAAGTGCAATATTGTAATAAAAAAGGAAGAGACAAGGAAGAGAAACATAAGCAAACGCTGCATCTCTGCAAACTGTTTTTTATTCTACAATGAAAATGATACTTTGCCTTAAATGCCATTAACATGGACAATTCTATTAAGTAACGTTGAAGCCCCAATTTTTAATTCTTTTCTATTTCTCCTTTCTGCCACCTAGGAGGAGGCTTACTTAGAAACATACAGCAAAGAGGGTTAAGCACGAATGGTTTAACCTCTTCAAACTAATGAAGAAGATACATAACAAAGTCTACCCCAGATGATAAGTCTTAGGAACTAGAGGAGAGAAAGTGCCTACGGTATGAACCGCTGCAGTAGATTGCTGCAAGGGGTGGGAGGGGGACAGGGCAAGAGGCTGAAACTCTGCGTGGATTTCCTGAAGACAGCCTGCAACCTCCTAACACTCTTGCTGAAGAATCTGAAATTCTAAGGTGAGCTGAGAACTGAGCAATGTATGTAAGGGCCGTTTGACTGCTTAGCACTTGAGTAACACGTGTGAGGATTTTAGAAACGCACAGTAAGTGAGAAGTGGGTTGAGACTGCAGTAGGAATATCGATGAAAAGTAAACACCATAGGTGATAAGCTTGCAAATCTGAGGAGGCAGAAGATGATGGACAAAACACGAAAACTTGCACCACTTTTTCTTCGTATCATATGTGTTTCTGGATTTTTTTTTTCTCATCCTTCCTGTTGTTTGCCTACAACAGCTCTGTTAATGGGTAGGGGCTGCGTGCAGTAGATGAAATGCTACTTTCAGAATGCAAGGCAAATCCACATCAAACTGGAGCTCTACCTCGTCAAGTCTGACAAGGTAGTTTTAAATTAGAACCAGATGAATTTCAGATGAAGGGGAGGGAGGGATGGAAGAGTTGCTAGGCCTGACAAGAAAAATGAGTGTTTGATGGTACGAGCATACTTTGCTATGAAAGGAAAACACTGTATTCCTTATATGAAGCACATACATGGTATCTTTCGTTATTTATAATAAAAGTGTTGAAATCTTTTATCCCAGTTCAGTTACTCAGAAGTCCTGTACTTAGTTGTTTTTTTTATTTTGTAATTGTGTACACCATATATTGCATTACTGCTATAAGTGTATTCCTTGTAAGTACACAAAGTTTGTTTGTTTGTTTTTTAGTGACTAATAAACTTTAGCACATAAGTTAGTATTATTCTATGCAAATTGGTGCAGGACATGACCAGTTCTGGGAGTCGTTCCTCTAAATTAATGTCATGCTTTGTTGTATGGGAATAATCTGATATTCTAGAAAAAGTATGTCATATCATTTGCAAGATTTTTCCACAACTCTGACATGCTAATTTACTTTTTTTTTTTTTTTTTTTTTTTTTTTTTTTTTTAGCTTCACTAGCATTATTTTGCCACTCTCTATTTGTATTTATAAAAAACGTACTATCATTACTTTGGATTGTTGTGCTGGTATAATGTGGGTTTAACGTCAATAAATATTACACAAATAGAAAGTTTTTCTTCTGGTAAAGACTATTAACTGCTTTGCTACTAGCATGCCAGATTTGGAAATTTAATTATTAGGAAATTAACGAAACAAGGTCTTTATGAAGCATCTACACTTGACTAGAATTTGTTTACCATCCTATTCTTTTTGTCTCTCAATCTTCTTATTTTTGTCTTTTTAAGAGGAAGATGACTCGCTGTTCTGTGAAAATTGCTCATCATTTACGTGAAGATGCTTCTTTAGCTCAGGTGTTAGGAATACGTGCAGGTCTATTTCATGTCTCTGGCACTTGCTGTATGACATCACTAATAACTGATTCTAAGTAAAACGGTAAAGAAAAAGTAAAATTGATTCTAAGTCCAAGTGCTGCTAAATTGGTGTAAGAACAGACTTCTAAAAAGCACCGAAATTCAATGAAGAAAATGCAAAGACTTACTTGTAAAATCCTGAACATTTCCCAACTAAAACTTCTCCTTCTTTCCTGTCTGTGCAAAAATACTGAGAAAGCTGCAAGATAATCAGTTTTTTTTTCTTTCAGGCTTACATTGCAAGCATTGATTACTACAGAGAGAATTATCATTGCAACCAAGTCATTACTGACACTAATGGCAGTACTACAACTCAATGGAGTTCCATCTGCTTACAGTAAATTTGTCTTTGGCTATGAGACTGAAAAAAATGAGACAGACTGCTCATGTGAGCTAGTTAAGATGAGATCATCCTCACTTTTTGTCTCTGCATGTACGCACACACACACAAGTAGTAAATCACATCCCTAAGCAGCAAAGTTGTTCTTAAGAAAACATTGAACTGTGCTGTTCCTTAGTTACTGGGACTGTTTGCTTGTACAGAGTCAGAGATAGAAGTGTGGCACACCAAAAATGACATACTGCTCAAGCCAAAAACTAACGTTCTTGGAAGCATCACGATAACCTTCAGCAGTTTAATCTTCCTCCCTGAACTCCAAAGATAGAAAGCGTTATCTGAAAGTGCACTTCCAACACTTCGTATGAAGGGTAGCAAGCTGATCAGCCAGGTGCTTTCAAAGCAATACAAGACTCCATTCAACTGCATTTGGAGTGCTTACAAACCTGTCATAGAATCATTAAGGTTGAAAAAGGTCTCTCGGATCATTGAGTCCAACCCCAGACCATGTGAGTCATGTGGTGGAAGATCATATTTTTAGCACAAGTAGAAATGAAATAATAGGAACAAGTGTATGTACAACAGGGTAACATCAGTTAAGTAGTTAACAGCCCCATGCCTGTTTGAAATAGATTTGTGCCCAAGGAGCAGTGTATGTAATTCTTCACCATGTGACAAGCCTCTTAAGTCTACATTGATCCAATACTAATTTAAGCAACACATCTCATCCCTTCAAAAAAGCTTGCAATTAAGAGGCCTTGAGATCAGGAAAAAAAGGCTCTCACTGACTTTAGTATCTTATTTTCAAGTGCTTCTGTCTTTTCATGTTGTAAATAGAGAACTCGGGAGCCTCTCAGTTCTTGCTTTTAATCTGGGACCAGGCAGCATCCAATGACAGCAACTGCAATTTCCTTGTTTGCAGCATGAAAAACAACAAAAACAGAAAAGGAAATAAAAATCCATGACTGTTCTTCCACCTTCTTTAATATCACATGAATCCTGACATCCTCCATAGTCCTTGGTTCAACCAAATCTTTCACTTGCTCAAAACTCCTCCAAGCAGCTGCAATTGGTTTGTGGCTTTAAAAGGTAAAACAGTTATGTATTATGAAGCAAGGAAAACGAGAGCTCAAAAATATGCATCAACGAGCAGAAAAGTGGCTAGTTTTTTCAATTTCACAGCATCCTTAACTATCACAGCTGCAGTATCCTTAGAGATGTGCAGCCTGACATTAAGTTAGATCCAGTGAACAGGAAGCAGCACCTAACTTCATTTCATCCTATGCTGCTGGGATTTATATTTTCTTAAGCAGCTTTGGAAATGGAGACAGTTAAACAAATAGAGTTGGTAAAGCACAGTAGAGTTCCCCTCCACAGTGAAGCAAAAGCATCTCTTGCAGTTTAAATTGCCTCTGGCTCAAAGCATTCAGTTCACCCAGAGCCAAATGCGTCACGATGTCTGTCACCAACCTCATCAAAAATCTGGCTGATCCTTAGGTCTTTTAAGCATAAATACAAATTATTCACTGCAGAGGACAAATATGACCTTACAGGTAAAATAAACCTGGAGAGAGCGCTCTTGTTAGAATATGCTGCATTCTTACCTTCTGTGATTTCCGTGTTGCCCCACCAAAGTAAGCTAAGGCGCAGAAAGGCTTCGGAAGATACAACTCCAATAACCCACGTTGATACAGACTGTAGAAATTAGGAAGGAAAAGCAGAAGAGTGAATCCGTTAACAGCTTGTCAGTGTTCTCACAAGCACGTTTTCAAAATCTATGCAATATTTGGCCATATCTTCCCACACCTTGTCACAACACGAGCTTCAGGTACAGAACTCCCTGTGAGAGTGTTAAAATCACCCAAAGACAGAATAGATGACATTATAGTTCTTGTATTTTGTGTTACTTATGGTTCTTGTATTCTGTGTTATTTTTATTTGGATTACACTTAGATGATACAAGATGAAGTACCAGAATTCATTAATTTGACAAACCTACTTTCTCTAAAGCATTTTGTGTATACACTGAGAGCTATTAGGTCTCTTCAGCAGCTCACTGAGTATTCACATGCTGAGGGGAGAGAAACAGACAAAGCATTCTGCAATGACTTAGGTTCATGCTCTTAAATTGCAACCCAAGAAGATACAGGAGGAGGAGCACCAGGAGAAGGAGGCCGTGAGCCTAACAAGCCGTCTAGAAAGAAGAAATGGAATGAAGAAATATTAAATGTAAATGGAATTCCATTTTTAGCATGTGGTCAGTGAACTCATATGCGTGAAAAATTGGAATGGCTGGAAATCAGCTGTGCTACCAAATGGAAAATCTCAGAAGAAAGCACGCTATTGCTCAGCTCAGCAGATTTACATAAGCAAGAAGACATCTTTTAGCAACCTGCATCCATTTTCTCATCCTCGCAGTGCATATCCAATGTTTTAACTTGGGTGCCGAAATCACTCAAAGTAGAAAACGTGGGTCCAAAAAACAACAAAAAGAAGTGAGAAGACTAAGATGAAACACGATGCCTACGATCCAGAAAGAAAAGAATGCTTAAATGTGTACTTGAGCATTTCAAATTAAGGAGACGTGATTTGAAGTGAACAAACCAATGAAAATGTACCAGAAAAGATAATGCATCTTGGTTTGAAAATGACAATCTAGATTTTGACCCTGAAGTACTCAGTCTGAAAACCTTATGGGTACACATTGCTGTAATCTTTGTTCCAAGCTGGCTGGAATCAGCTTTACAGTAAGCTGTTGTTTTTTTTGTTTTGGTCTCAGTTTAAGATTCTCTTTTTAAATGGTAGTTTAAAATATGCATAATTATTTATCAAAATATTCAGTATTAAGAAATTCTAATTTTACTTGATGAAAATTCATGTTAATAGTAGGGTTTTTCTCTTCTTTAGCACAACATTGAATAAACCCACCTGGCCATTTCATATTTAGCTATACTACATTTCTCCATTTTTCAATATGAAGCTTGGAATTGTCAGAAGAGGAATCTCTCTAAAAATCTATTTTACACTGCCCTGTTGCTCTGGATGTTGTACCCAGGATAGAACTGTCAACTTCTCCTCTGAAAGTAACGGTGAGATTTGACTTGACCCTTCGTAGAATAGTTATTTATTCAGTAACATTTATTGCTTTTGCTGGTGGATGGTAGAGATGTCAAGCAAAGGCCACATGAAGTTCAACCACAACCAGCACACTCACCCCTAGCAGAGTGCATTTAAGACAATGTATATTAATTATCCGGTCTAGCAACTCGTCATACAATTCTGTTCCAAACCACACAAAGGAAACCCTTGGGAATCACCAGTGAGCTCTGATTTTTGGCCAACATCACAGACAAATTTTGTTCACACAATGTGTATGAAATACCTGACTTCCAGTTACTGAAGCCCATCTGTTGTGTTGTCAGGATGCTTAACTTATTACCTGGGAACTCCCAGACAGTTCAGCACTTATTACTTCCTTTAACATCAATTTTTTTCTGTAAATACCAAAAAAATGCCAGTCATTATTTGTGACCATCTGATGGAAAATAAATAAACTTCATATACTGAAAACAATACATAAAATGTGTAATATAAATGCAGTCTCAAAGGGGAAAAAAAAGTTCAAGTTGTGCCTTGTGAAGCTGTTATTAGAGTATGCTTAATGAAGTATTTCCATTATTCTGATTTTATATGCTACAGCACAGTGCAAAAAGAGCCTCTGTGGAACACGTTTTAACATTTTGAAAGGGCTTTGATGCCTTTCTAGGCCACGATTTCTGCCCACTGCACAAATTCAGAGCCCATTTTTGAGTTATAAATGGTGCTTTCAGCACCATAACAACGACATGTGCTGATTCACCTGAAATAAGAAAAAGGAATATCATACAGCAGCAACAACAACAACAAAAAACATGGAAAGAAAAGCTAATTTTTGAATTCTTACACTGCTTGACAAAATCAAATCTTGACTCATGTAAGAAAGCTCAGTAAGGACATCTTTTAACAGTTTACTATTTATTACTTTATAGGGAGGAAGGAGAAAAATAGATCAAGGAAAGCATATGAAACTGAGGATTCAGAAAAAGGAAAAAAGAATGAGGGATGTTGAACGTTACACAGAGAGCCATTCAGCATTTAATGTGATTCTGCAGAGAACCTCTTACAGGGTTTGACAAGCAGCTTTATCTGCTTTTAAGTCAGGTCATCCAATCTTATCCCATAAGTCAACACAAGTAAGTAAACAGCTTTAAAGTAATGTACATACATCAACGCTCTGGAGCAGACTCTTATCTTTTGCACACCACGTGGTGTCCAGCAGAGATGCACCGAGACCAGGAAAATCTGTAGTTAAAATGCAGATTC